AGGAGAACCTCCCTCGCCCTGCTGCCCACACTCCTAATGCACCCCAGGATCCCGTTGGCCTTCTTGGCAGCCAGGGCACGCTGCTGGCTCATGGTCAAAATCAGACCTTCACAAGCAGACTAGGAGGTGAGTGGTTTGGTCGGGAGATGTGTTTACCAAAAAGGCATTTAGAAGTTGAGCAGCCCGGGAGGCCGGCCTGGAACGGAGCTGGTTCAAAACACAATGAGCTAATTGAACATAAAAAATAAAAATGAGTATTTTCAAGGAGTGCTAGGCCAGGCCTCGGTAAGGAGTCTGCGTCCCCCCAGCCCTTGCTGCTCCGCGTGAGCAGTGTGCTTGGGTAGCGCGGATCCAAGAGGGGGAACTTCGCTGGTTTGGATCACTGGTTTATTGCTTTTTTATGGCTGTAGCCGCAGGACGTTCCAATGTATTTCTAAAAAAAAAAAGATATTTTTAAAAAACCAAGCCTTTTTGGGTTTTGCCAGGGAGGGTTGTGTTGATCTTGCCTAACTCTGCCTGTCCCGCTTCCCAGGGCCACCCGTTCATCGTGCAGTACAACGACGGCAACGCAGAAGTCGTGTCCATGTGGGTGTGCAGGATGCTGGAGGAGCGGCGGGCGACCCAGGGACCCCAGTGAGCCGGACTGGCTCGCAGCCCCGCGCTTCGGACTCGCCGTCTGGCTGGATCATATTTTGCTAAAAATATTTTCTAGAAGCATCAGCAAAATCTTTCAGGAGGTTTGTTGCTGCCTTTCCCTCACCACCATGAAAAGGAATTTTATTCCCACATTTCTTTTGTTGCTGAGCAATTTAATGTCCTCAGCTTATCTTCAGTTAAACTGTCCACAGCCTTAAAGCAAGTATTTTATATCTATATTTTTTTGTTATTGAATGTATTGTATATTTCCTGGCTCCAGAGTATTTTTTAACTGTTAGTCTTTTGCTATTGTACGAGTGACGCGCGGAGTGTTGGGAGGATTTCGTAAAGGAGCTGTTGGATGGCTTTGAGTGCAGGCGTCCACAAAATGCTGGTTTTAAATTAAAAAAAAGAAATAGTATGTGGGCTTGCCCATCCTGTGAGGAGTTTAGGGATTGGCCCTCCAGAAAAAAAGCCCATCCTGTGAGGAGGTATCGGATTGCCCCTCCAGCATAAAAGCCCATCCTGTGAGGAGGTTAGAGATTGCCCCTCCAGAATAAAAGCCCATCCTGTGAGGAGGTGTGGGATTGCCCTTCCAGAGCAAAAGCATGGCAGGCAGATCGGCATCACCCGATCAAATGACCGATAGTTCCTCTCTGCACTCCTGGGCACTCACTGCTGCGGCTCGGTTTTGCTGAGAGGGCCAAGCAAAAAGACAACACACCGGTGTGCACGGAGAGCATCGCGCCCAGGCACTGCCAGCCGGTCCGTAAGTGCAGGAAGGTTTTGCTGAGGTGGAGGGAGGTGAGGAGAAAGAGGACAGCGTTCTCCTGTCGCTGGGATGGCAGGGATCAGGAGCAGGGATGCCGCTGGGTGAGCACCAGGCAGAGCTGGCCCCCCTGGAGCCGTGGCTGCCGGCCCCAGGGGCACAGGGGGTTTGCAGGCAGCAGCGCAGAGGGGGTGAGGTTCTGTGAGGAAGCTGAGGGCCGCGGCACAGCATCCCACGAGCTGGTGGAGGAAGAGAGCCCGCGCCGAGGGGCTGAAGCTGAGCTGTGCCGCTTGCCTTCACGGCCGGCGAATGGGCTGCAGGGTTTCACTGGTTACCTCAGCCGTTGGTGGCTTGCTTGGAAGCGTCCCGCCTTGCTCGGCTCTACCTTGGTCACTTATTTCCTTGCGTCGGAATCGCTGCACGGTGGGCGCAGCTGGGTCAAGCGAAGGCTCCCGGGTTTGCTGTTACCATAGAGGAACGACGAACAGTTGCGACGTCTCTGCTGCGTGCTGCTTGCTCCGGCAGTTTCTGCAAACGCTTTCTCAGCAGTGTCTTCAGCGCTGGTGTTCGGACGCGTATTGAAGCGCAGAAGAGAAGAGGACTATGGAAGGCAGGGCTGAGTTTTAGGGTAGCGAGTTGAGCAGACGTGACTTGGGCAAGGGGGGAGGTTGGGGCTGTTGTTTGCTTGTTTTTGCATTAGAAATAAACTTTTGAAAAAAAAAAAAAGCTCAGGTAGTTTGTTATATGCTTAAAAAAAAACACGCGGTGAAAAATTCCTCCTGAACCCCTGCAGATCCGAAATGTTCCTTTGGAAGCAGCCTGGAGAAGATGTTGTTTCCTTCCTTGGAGGGATCGTTTGTCTTCTTTTGAAATATAGAGGTTGCAGGCACGAACTTATAGACTAAAGTTTGTCTTAATTGCTCTGATGTCACAACCTGGCTGGCAGATAACCATACAATGAATGAGTCAGCGGCCCCCGTACCTCCAGGTCCTTTTTCTAAAGTGAGACAAATTTCTTCCCTGTGAGCCAACCAGACTATCGGCAGCTCTTCCATTTATTTATCTCTCTCAGTTTGCATTAGCTCTCTCTGGATAAAGAGTCTCTCTCCTTTGGATTTAGGTAAGAAGTCAGTAAAACCAAGGCTTTTCCTCTCGCTTTCCCTGGCAGGGAGGTCGGGAGGGGAAGGCATCACCCTGAAAATCTGCACGGGGTGCCAGCTGATGGGAACGTGAAAAATCTCCTGGCTAACGGGCTGACAGTCTTGTAATTCACTGGCACGGTTATTAACCTCGCTGTCTTCATCAGTACACTTGATCAAGCCAGCAATCAGGGAGGAGGTTTGGGGCCTCTCTCACCTTTCCTTCCCCAGGTCCTTGAATTCGGCGCAGCCGGGGGACGAGAGGAGGACGAGCAGCTGGGGGGTCT